ATGCATGTATATATGTGTTTGTGCATGTGCGCGCTTGTGTGTGTGTGTGTGTGTGTGTGTGTGTGTGTGTGTGTGTGTGCATATATTTGTGTGAATATATATACATTTATAATGTATATATACATATACATGTATAAACATATATATACATTTTTATAAATATGTATATGTATATATATATATACATGTATACGTGTATATGTATATTTATGTATGTTTGCATGTATATATGTACATTCATATATTTATAATATATATATATATATTGATATCATAGGCGTAGGGGGGGGGGCGACCGCTTAAGAATGAATGGGGCGGGACCCTACCTCTACCCCCACTCCTCTACTTTTCGGGATATTCTTGTAAATGAACACACTGCAGTTCTTTAGCTACCGCGTTGTTGGAAGAAGACTGACCCTCTGCAACTGAATAGGGCAGCTACAACCGAGTCTGGTGCTTAAAATGAAATAGCCATTATATCAAGTATTATCTAAATTAAATGCCTAACATTCTAGTGCAGAATGGATGAGTTTGCCTCTTTAAAACTGCTAAAATCCAGGAGCTTCACTACCTCATGCCAGACCGGGGCCCTGTGAGTTAGTGTGTATACTAATAGTAGTATAAAATCAGGATTATTGTTTCTATTTATTTTAAGGTAAAACAAAAAAAAAAAATGCATAAAATCATACGCGTTGTCTTTTGACACGCGTGTGCATATCGCAACCTTTGCAAATAATATTTATGACTAGCAAGTGAAGACGGAATCCAGCATGAAGGAGAGGTCTCCTGGACAGGACGCACTTCTCGAAGAGGGCGCTGCAGGCCTTCGAGTCCTTCTTGGCGAACTTGGAGCCAAGCTGATGGCCAGATCGTACACGCCTCGGCGCTCTTGAGGTTCTCGTTGTTCTCGAAAAGCAGTCTTGAACGAGGTCATGGCAGGAGTCAGCTGGTCAGCGGACATGGCCTCGATTTCGCACAAGAGCTTGGCCACGCAGCCAGCTGAATCCATTTGCTGGCCACGGCAACCTGTTTCGGAAAGTTTTTCATCATGAGTAAGATCCGGGCAGACTATTTGCTATAAATATAGTTCACTTGAAGAGCATAGCACTAATGAAGAGAAAACCAACTTATACAGGACTTTTTTAAGGGGCAAGTGATACTGGGATAAACTACTCTTATGAAATTCCTAGGTTCACTTGCCTCCACTGCCTCGTCAGCCTCAGAGTCGACATCCCTCTTGTTTCTGCGCGCAAGATGCTTCCCGATAAGAGCTCCCTTCAGCACGCCAGCGCGCCCGCCAAAGCGGTCGCCGCAGAGGCGGTAACTGTGGTGGCGGCGACAGTGCGAGGGTGGCGGTGGTTCCCAAGAGGACGACGGACTCAGATGAGGCCAGAGACCGCACAGGAGGAGACCAAGAATACGCGGGGAGTTCATGATGCTGTTGTTTGCTGGTAAAAAAAGGGATTGTGTCTCATACAGATATTTTTTGTCAGAAATGCAAATCATGGAGGAGATAAGAACTGGGCCAATACGCAGCATATAAGAAAATACACTTTCATCAAGAAACGCACTGCATAAGTACAACAGATCATGAAGACAGGATCTGTTCAGATATATTTTATAACTAGCATTTAGCAAGAATTTTCATATAACCAATATAGCATTCGTCTCTTTACCTTTTAGTGTTTGCGAAGAGCAGGAGCGAGTGACTGATACCTCCATTCGGTAGACTGCGATATATATACTGTCCGGAAGGGACCTGTGCAGGTGAAAGTCCTTTCGCACCCAAGTGGAAACTACACGCCTATCCTCGACCTATCAGGGGCTGTTCAAATGTATGCATGTTGTTTCACGCCTAAGTTATTCTTCACACTGTTTTATCACACTAATGTGATTGCGGGAAAATGCTGCATTGCTTGTGTCTTTATGTGTGAGTAATGAAGTTTTTTTTCTTTTCTTTTGCACAATCTTGTCTATTTACTTAGCGGATGTCATTTTCTTCACCCATCACCTGCATTGAACCGCCAACTCAAACCACACCCTGGCGACAAGCGATCCGCGAACTACTTCTGTCGTAATTACTCGAGTCGGACACCGTACGAATCGGTATATCTTTTACGATACCAAACCATTCAACGGCGTGTGTGACTAATGAAACATGTTTGCGTATCTAATGATTTTTTGATTGAGGAAATAGTTTTTTGACTTATTCCTGCTAGAGTGGAATAGGATATATATATATATATATATATATATATAATATATATATATATATATATATATATATGTATATATATATATATATATATTCATTATATATATATTTAAATACGCATTCTGTGTTGTATGTGCTTGTTTGTAAATATTTATATGTTTAAAGATTCTCCCTCCCTGCCAATCTTTGCGTCTCGTTCTCTCTCACTGTCATTCTGACTGTGTATTTGTTTATCTCTTTGTGGTTATCTATCTCTCCCTCTCTATATATATGTGTGTGTGTGTG